AGTTCTGAAATGAGAATTAAAATTTAAGGATCAATCTTACAAAGAGAACTGGAAGTTAGGGGCCGACCTCAAAAGGAGGGAATCAGAAGTTAGAGGCTGATTTCCAAATGAGAGTTAAAATTTAAGGATCAATAACAAAAAGAGCATTGTAAGTTGGGGGCTAATCTCAAAAGGAGGGAATCAAAATTTAGGGACTGATTCCAAGATAAGAGTTGAAATTTAAGTATCAACCTCAGAAAGAGAGTCAAAATTTAGGTACCGACCTTAAAAGGAGAGAATCAGAATTTAGGTACTGACCCCGAGATGAGAGTTGAAATTTAAGTTTCAATCTCAGAAAGAGAGTTGGAATTTAGGTACCAAACTCTAAACGAGGGAATCAAAAGTTAGGGACTGATTCTGAAATGAGAGTTAAAGTTTAAGGATCAATCTCTAAAAGAGGATCGGGAGTTAGAGACCGACCTCAAAAGGAGAAAATCAGAATCTAGGCACTAATTCTGAAATAAGAGTTGAAATTTAAGGATCAATCTTAAAAAGAGGATCAAAAGTTAGGGACTGACCTCGAAAAGAGGGAATCAAAAGTTAGGGACTGATTATGAAATGAGAATAGAAATTTACAAAGAGTTCGTGGTGTTGAACTCATAGATATGTATCATGTGATAATGTTGACGTTGGTGAGGAAGATATGTGGCATTTTGTGAGATTTAGTGCAGACAAGGACAGTCGTGCTGCGCGAGAAAAGAGTAAGAGACCTCGAACTCGAGAGAAACAACTCGACAGATTTATTTTCATTTTTCGTATTGTTTTTAACATGTTTAATTTTCAAAATATGTTTTTCAAAATTTAATTTTTATTGGTTTTTTCAAATGTGTGTTTATTTAAACTTTATTATTAAATTTTTATTATTTTGTTCTTTGTTCTTTGTAGTTCAGAACTAACATTTGGTTCTATGGCTCTTTATCCATTGCACAAAAAGGCAATTGAACAAACAAACAAAATTCTGAAAGAGAGTTCATTAATTTGCTGCAACATGTGTTACAGATTGAGTACAGACCAAAGCCTCAAAAGGTACAATATGTTGAATTCATCAAAATACATCTGAAAATATCTCATGCTGGGTACATATCATAAGCTGAGCATATCTAGTACATATATTATCTTATCTGCTGTGTCAAAACATAGTACAAAAGGTATCCCATGAATGTCCATCTTCGATGGAGTGAGCTCTTGATCGAGCTGACCTACTAAGCCACGCTCCAGGACAAGAGTTCCCTTTGCATCTGTCTAGAGGTTAAACCCTCTCATAGTTTGTAAGGCAATAGTTATTCCAACTCTAGATTTGGCTGAAATCCATATGACATTTTGCTGTCATCCATTTTTGGAAAGTTACAGACACCCTGCGGTGTCGTACCCCTGAAATGCAATGTCTGGATATGTCTGCTCCATTATCTTTAAGAACTAGCACCGAACCCACTAGTAGCGGAATCTCCATGGATCCTCTAAACTCGTCGGGGCCAATGACATCTATTTCTTCTCTAAATAAAATGTTGCTTTTTCTCATGAAAGAGACTGTGTAAAAAGGTCTCACAAAATCATGATGGTTTATAGGCGGGGGAATACAATCACCTTCATCGTATATATTAAAGATATAGCTTTCAGGAATACAGTTGGCTGGGAGTACACTCCATCATACCATTCTCTTAATCATGCAATTTATCATGAGAGGTAGCGGGTCCACCTCATCGTATCTCAAAATCCTCGAGGGATTTCCTTGTCTGTCCTTAGTGAAATTGGTGAAATTGTATCCTTAGTGAAATTGTAACAACAACCACATTGTATGGTGATTCTACCTTGTCCACGCATCCATTTCTGTAGCTCAGAATAAGTTCTTTCCATCAGAAGGCATGCTCGACCCCTGTCTCTTAGATCAATTTCGCAGCCGAGCATACATCTTTTATCGCTTTTGGAGAAGAATCTGGTGTACAGTTCCAAGCCTTCTAGTATGTTGATGAATTTTTCCTGAACTTCTTCATAGAATTCAAATTCCTTTTTGTTCATTTTACTCATTTTGTAGTATTTTGCCATGGTGATGTTCGATGAATGTCGAGGATGCTCCCTCATTTAAAAGTCGGCAGGAATCCAGGTTGGTGTTGTCTCTCTATCCAGCAGGATATATGACTCCCGCATTGGGTGATTGGTGACCAAAAATTTGTCATCGACAGACATGTGCTGTAGCATTCTAGGTGGAGAACATTGCAATTTGAGCATTCCACAAACGCCCATTTAGCTGGTGTAACTGTGCGAATTTCGACGTTGCATGTTGGGAAACCCGCAAAAAGATCATCTGAAACTCCTAGTGTCTCCGACTCCATAGTGAATTCGGATTCATCCTCTGTGACAGGTAGGCTGGAGGAAGTCTCTCTCATATATGGATCGTAGATTTTCCTCTCAGGAATAGGGGTAAGTAAATTTTCTGCCACTTGTTGGCATCTCCTTTCTTCACGCGAGAAAGCTCTATATTTTTGGCGGTTGGCGTTTCTGCATTGAGTTCTTCGTAGTGGTGCATCTGGCCGTCTCTCGTCATTAACAACGACTAGGCGTCCAATTGGTACAGTTATCATAGACTGCAGACGACTAGTCACCTCCATCAGATCTTGCTATATCATCATATTTTTCTCCTTCAATAAGTAATTATCCCCGTTGCTGGTCTTCAACAGTGATGATAGCCCTTCTTTTTCTTGATAGGTAACGACGTTCATCAAGGGACCCTCAAAGTACTTGTCGACTTGACTGAAGTCCTTGTCGAAGTCTATGGTGCCACCCTGCGGTGCCTTTTCCTTGTTAAGTGCAAGGTTCCAGCCATCTTTAAAAGCAAAAATCTTCTTCTGTTCTAACATTTTTTCAACATACGATAGGAAAAACATCAGTGTGTAGAAATTTAACAAGAACAAGAACAAAACAAAGTGTTTTTTAGAGAAAATTTTAATTTATGTTGGTGGGAAAATCATTTAATTATATATATTTTTTGTTTAATTTAGAAAAATATTGAACTCAAAAGTAGAAAGAAGAAAATTGAAGTATGTAACTTCAAAACTTTTCATTTTATTGAGATTAGTTTTATTATAAAATTTTTTACCCAGTCACAGATGTTTGGCCAAATAAATATCCCCAGAACAATCAAAATTTCAAAAAGGCAATTCCAAGCAGCGTCAAGGTACATAGTATGTCTTCAAGTATCGTCCGTTGATCGACAACATGGGTCTTTCACCTAAAAAATCCACTAGCTGGTAGGCTCCTCCTGTGTAGACTTTTTCTACAAAAAATGGTCCTTCCCAAGTTGGCTCGAATTTTCCACCTATTCTGTATCGTGCAAGAATAGGCCTTTTGAGAACAAGAACGAGAACACCAACTTTGAGTGTCCTTGGGCGAACCAATTTGTCACGGGCTTATATCATTTTTTCCTGCTAAAGCTCCAGGTGTTGTTGTGCTTATAGTCATTTTCCTTTAAGTCTTTCTAATTTTTCAAGTCTGAGTTTTACACTTTCTTCCGTTGTAAGTTGATTGGCGATATCGACTCTGAGAGAGCGTCTGGACCTCTAGCGGTAGTACGGCCTCAGACCCGTACATGAGCACGTAGGGTGTACACAGAGTGGGAGTCGTGAACGTTGTGTGGTAGGCCCACAAAGAGTTTAGCAATCTGTAATGCCAATCTGTTTTGTTTTCATTCAGTGTCTTCTTCAAAATCTGTACCAATGTCTTCTTGAAGGCTTCAGCTAAGCCATTTGCCCTGGGATAGTAAATTATAGAGTATCTTCAGTCTATCCAGTGCTGTTTGACGAAATTATTGATTTTTATGCTTTTGAAGATAGTCCCATTGTTGGAGATTATTCTGTGTGGAACTCCAAAACGGTAGACAACTTGGCTTTTGAAAAATTGAAGGGCGTGCTGTGCTGTAACCTCTCGCAATGGCATAGCCTCTGCCCATTTGGAAAATTAATGTATAGGAACAAGTATAAATCTATGTCCTTTAGAGGATGGAGGGTCTATTGGACCTATTATGTCTGTGCCCCAACACTTGAATGACCATAAAGCAATAGTTGGGTGTAGCACATTTGGAGTTTAGTGCAAGACCACCCCATTTACTTGGCACTAGTGACATCTTCTAGCTTTATCCATGCAGTCGGATATCATTGTCGGTCAATAATATTCGAGTATTTTGATCTTCATTTTCATCTTTGGCCTTGATTGGTGAGCGCCACATAGTCCAACATGTACCTCTTTGACAATATTCTGTGATTCTACTTTGCTTAAACATCATAGCCACATCTGATCGAATAATTACTGTAGAGGACATCACTCACTAAGGCGTATCACATAGCCTTTCTTATGATGCGGTGTTTCTCAGATTTGTCTTCCGGTAGCTTTCTAGTTTGCAAATATTATATTAATGGCTTACGCCAATCTACATTGATATCAGCAATCGCAATCAACGTTTCTTCTTCCTTTCAAGCTTCTTTAGATTTTTGAGGTTGATTCGAGACAAAACTGGTCTTCCTTGAACTGTAATGTCAATGGAATCCTCCGGGGGACATGTAATTTTTTTTTGCAAGTTTTTTCAGAGTGTCAGCATGGGCATTATCTCCCTTAAGAATCCAGAAAAAAGTTATGTTGGGAATCTGCTCCATCAGCTTTATCATGTACTGGTGGTATTCTGCTAACCTTAGCCTCAAAATCTTGTATTGTCCGGCGACTTGTTGGATGGCGAGCTGTGAGTCGCCATGGATAACAATATATGTTATATCCAAAGAGATTGCTAATTCCAATCCAGTGATTAGCGCTTCATATTCTACTTTGTTGTTGGTGCACGACACTTTCAGGTGGTAGGAGAACCTCAACACACCCTTATCTGGCGTGATAAAGATCAAGCCAATCTTTGCTTTGCTTGGTGTAACTGTGTCTGATCCTTTATCTTTTCTAGCCGATGAAGCTTCATTGAAGTACATCTCCAGTGTTGCTCTTTGGATAATTCCATCTGCAATACTTGTTCACTAGAAACTTATCATTAAGAGGGGACCCAGCTAGAAGTGGGTGTGCAACAAAAAATTCTGCCAAAATCTGTCCTTTGATAGCACGGAGGGAAACAAAAGTTATATGAAATTGCAACAAAATCATTGACCATCTTTCTAGATGTCCAGAGATTGTTGGTCGGGTCATCAAATATTGCAATGGATTAACTTTTGAAATTAAGGTAATCTTATGAGAATGCATGTAATGTCTGAGTTTCTAGACGATGAAAATTAATGCTAGACAATGCTTCTCAATTAGCGGTACCTTATCTCTGTCAGCATTAAATGACAAATCAAGTAGTAGAGTGCGTTTTATTTACCCTGTTCATTGATTTGGGCTAAGAGGGCTCTGAGAGACTCATTTAAGGCTGCAAAATAAATTATCAACGGTTTTTCAAAGATAGGGGCGCCAAAATAGGAGGTGTAATTAAGTACTGCTTAACGTACTCAAAAGCCCAGTGGCATTTCTCTTCCCAAAAAAAATTGGCGTCCTTTTTAACCAATGTCGAGAAGGGATGACACTTACCTGAGATATTATAAATAAAGTGTCTCAGATATGCCAACTTCCCTTGAAAGGAACATAGTTTTTTTAAGGTTTTGGGAAAAGGCATTTTCAAGATAGCCGTAATATTATCCGGGTCGAGCTCGATTCCTCAAAGACGGACAACGAATCTTGGAAATTTCCAGGAGGTAACGCCAAAGGCGCACTTTAAGTAATTCATCTTATGGTCATATCGTCGTAACCGTTCAAACACAATCCTCAAATCGTACAAATGGTCTATTTTTTGTTTACTCTTGATAACCAAATCATCCATGTAGCATTCCACTTGGTTGTGAATGAGATCATCAAAAATTTTCATCATAGCTCATTGAGATGTTGCTCCAGTGTTATTCAACCCAAACAGCATCACTGTGTAGCAGAAAATTTCGATAAGTGTCCTGAAGGCTATAAGTGTTGCATCTTCTGGAGCAATCTTGATTTCATTGTACCTCGACGATCCATCTATAAAGAAGAAAATTTTATGTGTTGCAGCAATGTCCACCATCATTTCTGGTATTTGCAATGAAAGCTCATCCTTTGGACACGCTTTGTTAAAATCTCTGAAGTTGACACATACACAAATTTGTCCATTTTTTTTCTTAATTGATACAATATTAGCTAACCACGTGGGGTGTTGCTCTTCTTTTATAAACTTAGTGCCTACTAACTTCTTCACCTTGGCAATGACTTGCTGCCCTATCTCGAGGCACATTCGCCTAGGTGCTTGTTTTTCTGGGGTCATACTGTTGTCCACCCCAAGTTCATGAGCTGCAACTTTTACTGACAGTCCTAACATTTCATCTTAACTCTACGTGAAGCAATCTTTGAATTCTGTTAATAGTTTAATCAATTATATAAATTCATCATCATTAAGTAGAGAACTTATAAATGTAGGTCGGGGCTTCTCTTCCATTTTGAGGTTAATTTCCTTTAATTCATCAACATTTCACTTGATTTCTTCATCAAATTCTGGCGAGGCATCATCTATTAGCAGATCAGTAGAGTCATCCTCTATATCGAGACAATCCTTTTTAGATTCGCTAGTAACAACCATGAAAAATTTGAGTCATCGACTGGTTCTACTGTACCAAATTCGAGACCCTCTTTCAAGTTGGGAGTTCGACTTTTAACATCCCATAATTTCTCAAAAAGTTGTAATTTATCTCTTAATATTTATTTTGGTAAATATCCCAGTTGAATTAACTTTTGTACACAAGGCGAAAAGTAACCAAAAGGTAATTCTATTAATTCAATATGATTGGTTCGCCCAAGGATTGGTTCCTCACTCCCGGTGCTATCGTTAGTGGAGTTGTCGATGTTTTCTTCAGTCTTGTCAACAGGTTCATAGGACTCAAGAATGATTTGAGGATCATTTTGGGAATCGAGATCAAAGTTTGATGTGTCATAGTCGATCACATTATCAGTAGAAACAGTTCGAACGCAGCTGAAATCATAATCACTATATTAATAAGACCCCAGAGGGACAAAAATATCATCATACTAGGCCAGGGGTTCGAGAATTTTCTTCCCCAAATCCGACACAACCAATCTAGTAGAGGCAACCCCTATCCTACCCCCCATGCTATCACTCTATGCGATGGTATTCTTCTTCTTCTTTGATGATGATGATTCTTCTGGTGAAATCTTCATTTCTGGCTTGGCAGGCTGAAGACTTTGGACGGAAGCTTGTGTTGATGCATTCTGAATTTCATTTAGGACCCTCTTGAGCTTGTTCCAAGTCGTACTTCATCCATCCTTTCCAGTAGACAGATCAATCAAAGAGATTGGCTCAGCTGAAATCATATTTTTGGAACCTTTTTCAGGCTCTTTTTAATATTTTTTCGGGATCGTTATATTCCCTTCTTTAAGATTTTTCTCAAGCCAATCTTTGAATATATTGTGTCCAAGCAATCTGTGATACATGCAATAATTTGGTTGATCCTTCTTGTCGACCTTTTTGGGTTTCTTTGGATGTAGTAATCTGAAATCAGGCTTATTCAACAGACTTCTGAACATCTTGGATATCGCTTCATCTTTGAAGGAATATAATACCTTTTATCGTTCTGCCAAAGATATTCTCTTATTCTCTGTTTGGTGTGATCCTCCCTGAGGTGGTCGCTGGCTGGATAGGCCATAATTTTGTGTCTGTTGTTGAGCATGCTGCGATAATGACTGATAGGAATTTTCTGCATGTATCTTCATTAGTTGTTTTCTTTTAATGACCGTTGCCATTGTGCTGGACTTCTTTTCAAATACTCTGGTCGTCCTGAACTTCTCAGACTTCTCATGAGAATCCATATGTTTGACTTCTTTTTGAAGATTGCTGGCTTTGCTGAGTAGCTTCTCAAAGGATTTAATGGTGAATCCCATGAGCATGAAAGCTATTGTCCCATGAATGCCCTTGAGTAAGATCTTAATTGCATGATGTTCCTGTAGCCGAGGTTTGCATTTCATGGTAAGGTTTCACCACCTCAAAATGTAGTCCACTAGAGTCTCGTTGGGCTTTTGCTTCTCTATTACGAGATCTCCAATAGACACATGATGATGCGCTCCAACAAATCTCTTCACAAACAATTGTTCTAACTCAACGAATGTCTTGACTGATCCATTGGGTAGTTTGTCATACCAATCAAAAGTGATCCTGACAAGCTGCTGACGAACTATCAAAAGAGTAGAGCTTTGTTACCTCCACTATTACCACAACTGGCTCAGAAATGTGTTATGTGCTGCCTGGGATTTGCAATCCCATCAAATATCTTAACGTTTAGTGACACAAAACCCTTAGGATAGGGTACGACATCTAACTCCTCTAAGTAAGGTCTACCCTTCTCTCAAACTTGCTCGACCATTTGCTTAAATTTCTTTTCTGGCGTGGTACTTGATGGAGAATCCTTCTTTTTTTGCTCATCTTTATTTGCGGAGGCAACTTCTCTCTTTTCATCAATGATGTGTATAATCTCCAGTTGATTGACTTCTGGAGAGGCTAACTATGGTACTTGAGAGTGTCCCTAAACTGTGGCCATGGTGTTCATGGCAGCGGCCATCTCTTCCATTCTTTTCTTCATTTGGATGATTTGTTGGTCCCTTAAGAAAACAGCCCTACGTAGCTCCTCTATGACTTCCTCTTTGATGAGAGGATGAGCATCACACACAGACGCAACATCTCTGGTCTCGATAACATGCTCATCCATAAAATCTTCCTTGAGGTAATCATTGAAGTCAAAGTCTTCATCATCATCAATGAAAACTCCATATTCTCAAGATAACTCAGAAATCCTGACCCTGAGCTTTTTGACCTTTTCTTAAATTATTGATTCTTGTAGCATTTTGATATCTGGAGGACTTGGTTGGATATCCTCCACTCGTTTCTCCATTTCGGTAGCAATTGTTGTCACAATATCAGATACTTTGGACCTTGGCTTCATTCCATGATTCTGCCCTCCAGGTATGCTGATACACCTAAAAATGTTCTATTTTTCATGATTTATTTTATAATGATATTGTACTTTAAGGATATCTTTCTTGTGTTTTTGGTTTTAGGTACATCAAGTTGAAGAATTTGGAGTGACTGGAGTAAAAGGAACAAAAATGGACCAAAACGGAGCAAACCAGAGTAAATTGGGTTGAGTCGGGGCACACCAAAGCCATGGGGACCAAAATCAGGCACTTAAGTGCTTGTGACCAGTGCTTACGCACCCAAATATGGTGCTTAGGTGCCACCAGATAGAGAATAGGGCGCTTAAGAGCCCAAAAACGGTGCTTAGACGCCAATGACAGTTTTCAACATATCTTCTAGGATATACGTCAAATTTGGATGATTTTTGAAGCAGTGCTTCGTGCATCACTTGGAGAATTCATTGGAAATGAGAAAATGGACTTTATATAATAATTTGGGGTGGTTAGTTGGAGTTTTAAAGAGGCACTTCAGACACCATTTGGAAGATTTAAGGAATATGTAAGGAATATGGACAGTTTTGAATATGGACAGTTTTGAAGAGATACTTAAGCATCTCTTCGGAAATTATAAAAAAGAAGACTTTAAATTTTTTTTAAAATAACACTTGGACTCTTGAATCAATTAGAAGAGGAGAAGTAGGCTTGGAGAAGAGGAAGAAGGCTTGGGCGTGAGCCCCAAGTGGGGCGGCAAGGTGAGAGAGAAAGAGAGAGAGTGAGAGATTTCTTCTTTTCTTTTCACTTTGTTCTTGGATAGGATTGTAAGGAGATTGCTTTTGATATACAAGGAGAGTTTGATTTACATCAGAGATAAGTATTTTCATTGTATTTTTATTTGAATTTATTACTTTATTTATATGGTTTCAAAGTCTTGTTCAATGAAAAGTTCTTGTTGTTTCTCCATGTGTAGTGAGTAGTTTTCTTTACACTTCCCTCTTGTAATGAATTAGTACACATGTGTAGGATATAGAATTTAGTAGAGTGAGAATATGTTATGATGATTTTACTTTGTTCCTCATTTACATGTAAACTTGATCAACTTGCATATTAAAATCTTTTGTCAGAACATGTAAGATCTGGGATGGTATTGTCTCAATGAACTATGGTAGAATCACATGAGATTGTATGAATGAGAATGTAGTCCATATGGTTGAGTGCAAAAACTAGGGAAATAATCTTTAATGGGTGTAGAATTAGAGGACTTTAGAGTGACAGGCTAAAACCCCTTAATTTGGCCTATTGTTTTAGGTTTCTATGCGAGATGTTAGCCTCCAGGTGGAGGGATAAGATTTTAAAGCCTACCTATTTAGGGAATTCATCTACACCACAAGTCTTTATATCATAAGATTCGACTCAATCACAAGAAGAACCTGAATTGAAAGATGAAATCAGTAAAATATCTCCTAAGAAAGAGTTATTCAAAATCACTGAATGGTATATTCTATGGTAGACATACAAAATGAATAAGATTTTGATGTTGGGGCAACCAGAGTAAACATTGGATACATCGAGTCATTGATGTTAGACCAAGT